TGGGCCACTTTTTCAGAGGCTTTCAATAAGCCCCAGTTTCAGTTTCCTCCTCCCCTTTAGTCCTCAGCTTATTTCAGTTGCTGCAAACTGAGTTCCAATTGCAGAACAGATGGCCAACCAGCCTCTGTTTAAAAATCTCTGGCACAGAGACTGGCCTGTTTGCCCAATGGAGAATGCTGAAGGGCATTGTGAACACAGGATGGCATAGATCACATTGGAGGATGAGCAAGTGAAAGTCCCTCTAATATTGTGGGTGATGTTGTTAAGTCATACTATGACATTTCTTGAATAGATCATAGAGTTGGAAGAGACCACAAGAGCCACCCAGTCCAACCTCTGCCATGCAGGAACTCCCAATCAAAGCATCACCAACAGATGGCCATCCAGCCTCTGCTTAAAGACCTCCGCTCTCTGTAGGCAAGTAAAAACCTGTCATGAATAGTCCTTGAGAGGGCAGCATTATTGTCCAGAATGGATTGTAGCTGATCGAGGATACATCTGAGTGGTCTCAGTTGGGAGCTGTAGGTGACCACTGGTGGGGTTCTGTCATTTTCGGTCTTAGAAACATAGAATCCTAGAGTTGGAAGAGACCTCAAGGGTCATCCAGTCCAACCCGTTTCTACCATGGAGGAAGTCAAAGCATCCTCAACAGATGGCCACCCAGCTTCTGTTTAAAAACCTCCAAAGAAGGAGACTCCACCATCCTTCCACTCTCAAACAGCTTTCACTGTCAGGAAGTTCCTCCTAATGTTGTGGATAAACAGGAACAGAGACCTTCGGAGGTCAGGAAACAGACCTCCGTCCAGTGTCTGGAAAGCACCCCCCTTCAGCTAATCAACATCCTTATATACCATCTTACACAGCTAGTTTATAAGTATATTAATACATGCATAATTCGACATTTTCATTGGTTACAAGATATAATCCCAAAGCCCCTCCTTTCCTGATTACATTACACTTTTACTTGCCATGCGTGAATGACTTTGGCTCTCTTTCTTTACTATCCATTCATACCATCAATCTTATCCCCTTTGGCTGTAAAACTGTCTGCCGAAAAACAACATTCCTTGTTATCTTTTCCAGTAAGCCAGACTGAAAGCCTTTTACAAACTGCCTTGCAAATGCACAGTTTTAAACATGTAATATGAGACCCCAAGGGTCATCCAATCCAGCCCCAAATTAGCTATGAGCGTTGTAGTTTCTTTTACATTATTTCATCTCCTACACTAATGTTGAGCTGGAATCTCTTTTCCTGTAGTTTGCATCCATTGTTCTGGATCCTATTCTCTGGAGCAGCAGAAAATAAGCTTCCTCCATCCTCAGTGTGACAGCCCTTCAAATATTTAAACAAGGCAACAATATCACCTCTTAATCTTCTTTTCTCAAGGCTAAACATAGAAGCTTATCACTTGGTTTAATAATCCATTTTACCTCTCCGAGTATAATTTTCAATACAGGCTGCATCCTGATCTTATCAGATTTTTTTTTGCTGCCAGATTTGCTGCCCAAATACATCCTGGGTATATCCCTGCTTCCAGGAGCGCTCCTCGCGGCTCTTTTCGGATCTGGGAGTTTTCCGGCTTAAGAAAATGGCCGCTGGAGCACTCCTGGAAGCAGGGATGCACCCGGGATGTGTTTGGGTGGCAAATTCAGCAGCAAAAACCTGATAAGATCAGGATGCAGCCCAAATTTGAAATTTAAACTGGGGAAGGTAAAATGGATTATTAAGCCAAGCAATAAGCTCCATAGTCAGCTCCCTAAAGGGGGTTGCAGACTGCCAGAAATAGTGCAAATTGAGTCCACTTTAAGGGTTAGGATTAGTGCTAGGGAATCATGGGAATTGTTTGGTTTTTTTTTCTGAGACATTGAGCCTTCTCTGTCAGAGAGCTCTGGTGCCACAATAAAATACAGTTCCCACGATTCCCTAATCCTAACCTTAACCGTAAAAGTGGACTCAATTTGCACTATTTCTGGCAGTCTGCAACCCCCCTATGTCTCTCCTCAGAGGGCTTTATGGTTTCCAAACCTTTGACAATTTTGGTCACCCTGCTCCGGACACGCTCCAGCTTCTCAACACCCTTTTTGAATTGTAGTGCCCAGAACACAGGATTATTCCAGGTGAGTCCTGACCATCGTCGCAGTGAGGTTTGTGGCATTTGGTTGTGATGTGATTGAAATGCAGCAGAGTTCAGCAACCAGCTTCCTTCACCAGCCATCCTGGGAAAGTTATCTCCATGAAGACACATTTGTAGATCCAAATTAAAGCTTTATTGTTCCATAAAGAAAACAGAAAAGAAAAATATACAATCCGTCCTGCTGATGGCAAAAAACCTATAGGATCACATCTTGTAGATGTTGTTGTAGAATTACAGCATTAGCAATAGAATAGTTAAGTTACAGTTCAAAAGAACACATAGCAAGTATATAAACAAAGGTGAACAAAGGAACTTCTGGCCCTTCCCATACTCCACCTTCTGAGTGTTAACCTTATGATGATTGGATGATCTGCTGTAACCCAGTCGATCCCCCATTTGACCTGGTTCTCATGAGAACTGACTGAGCTCATATGTTTATCTGTTAGTATCATGTTCTCAGTGTTTTTATTATTCTGTACTGTGTGCACATGTTTTGGTTTCAAACCACCTACTAGCCGAGTCTTCCTTGTTTTTCGTTAGACACTGTTCCCATAAGAAATTTTCACACACACATCTCTACATTTCCACTTTGACTGTATATCCCATCCATATTCCAAGGTTAACTGACAATTTATTTTGGACTTCAAGACAGAGGTTGCTACAGACAAGTTAGTGTCCAATCTGAGTTTCTCCTGCCTGATACAATAAACACTAAACATATACACTAAAAGAAGATTAGTAAAATATAGACAATACTGTTGAAAAGAGACAGCATTGAAATAAAAGATGCTTAAATGGGCGATGGAATTGGGACATAATATCAATTTAGAAAAATGGGAATCAGCAAGAAGGAAAACTGACAAATTTACAGCTTCACAAAATCTAAAAGAAAACTACAAAATGGCAAACCATTGGTATTATACTCCACTCATATTAGGTAAGATATTCAGATTAAACAATGATAGATGTTGGGGATGTAAAAAAGAAAAAGGTTCATTAATACATATGTGGTGGAGTTGCAAAATAATAAAGAAATTTTGGTTGAAAATACATATAGTGATAAAAGAAATGCCTAAAATAGAATATGACTTTGATCCGGAATTGTATTTATTGAATATAATT